GCTCCTCCCAGGCACAAGGCTGTGCAAGAGCTCACGAGTAGCACCGCAGTCCTGGTCCTGGCTCAGCCACCACGGAGTCAGGCCCTGCTGGCAAAGCATCCGGGGTCTGCCCACAGCTGGGTGGGACGGAGACAAGGACCTGCGGCTTCCTGGACAGGCACAACATTGCAGTCTCGGGGAAGAAAGCTGCCACAGCCTCTTCTTGCTGTAAGCAGCCCCACTACCAGCCCCAGGCACCAAATTTTCTTACTCCTGGTCATCTTTGCCTTCCTTCACCTCGCAGGGTGCCAGGAGAGTGTCACCCCATCATTCTGTGCTTCCCTGCTATGGGGGCTCCCCACTCTGCCCCCACCACGCTGCCTCCCGCAGCATGTGCCGCCAGGCACGGCCCCAGGACAGGCAAGGGCTTCGCAAGAGACACCGTGTCAGGGGCCACAGGGAGCCACAGCACAGCCCCGGGCAACATCCCTGAATGGGCACACAGCCACCTCCCCACAGGGCCCCACATGCCCCGGCCCAACGTGCAGCCAAGCACACAGGGACTATGCAGATCTGACAGCACAGCCCTCCTGCCCTTGTCCAAGTGAGGGACACCCACAGGCAGGTCTTCTCCTGACTGCAGTGAGAGCCGGACATGGCTCCTCTCCATGAGGCCACTGGGGTGGTTCTGGCCTGGGAAGGTGCCCAGCCCTGCCACACACGTGTCCAAAGGAGACACCTGGACTTTATATAAAAACCACAGACGTTTCTGCACACGTACGTCGGGCTGCAGGGGTGTCCCAGCCCACTGGCGCAGCGGGGGCTGCTCCCTGCTCCCCTTTCCCGGACACAATTCACATTTTCCACGTATTAAAAACGAACCAAGCACAGACACACAGCACATGCCGTGGGGCCAGCACCGCCCGGCCCACAGCGGGACATCACAGTGAGTTGGGGCGTGAGGGGGCTGCAGATACCCCCTCCTGCCCTCTGCATAGAGGGGGTTAGGGCCCCAGAGAACTGGGGCTGCACCAGCAGCCCGAGCCAGGTGCCATGTCCATCTCCGTGGTGGGAACGCTGGGCTGGAACAGTCCTGCAGGTTCCTGGAAGGCATGCGGCACCCCTCACAGCCGCCAGTACCGAGGTGATGCCTGGGGAGCCCCTGGGGGGGTCCCAATCCCACCGGCCAGTGCTGCTCTGGGCATGCACACACAGACAACACGGACCCCGGCCGCGACGCGCGGTCCGGAGAGGCTC